CTTCATTTCATGGTGTTCTTGCTTGTTGGTTTTAGAGGAGGAATTTTTTACCCTAGCCGAACCTTTTAAAATTTAGTTAGTTGTTTTCTTCCCCCTTCGTTGTCGTCGTCTCACTTTGATAAGGAAAAATTTCAATCTTAAGTTGAATGGAGTTTTTTCTATTACTTTGTTGGATCAATCTCATGTGCTCATTATGTTGGAGAACTATCTTGACTATAGTAGAGTTTTTTGCCATAGGTCTTATATGGCATTTAATTGTTTCATGAAGGTGACCAAATGGTCCCCTTCCAATGATATTGGTGTTGATTCTCCCATTGTTCCAATCTGGATTTTGTTTCCTAACTTGCGACCTCATTTCTTTCCCCTCGTATCCTGCATGGTTTGGGCATCTCTTTGGTAATCCTTTGAAAGTGGATAATGCCACGTCGTTGGGGTCGCACCTATTTGTGGCCTGAGTTATGGTGGAAATTGATGTTAGCCAAAAATACTCGGATAAAATTTGGCTAGGTCCTAAGAAATTAGGGTATTTTCAACAAGTTGTTATGGAGAATTTTCCTCCTTTTTGTGCCAAATGTAAATGTCTAGGCCATTTAGTTGGTGCTTGCCGCCCTTCTCTTTATAATGACCAGGTTCAACCTGTTTTAAGGGTTAATGAGGAAAATGATCTTCCGTTGGGTGGTGGGGGTTTGGTTGAAAGTATTTCTACTCATTCTAGTCCTAATGGGGCTGGCCCATCTCTTTTTGATTTGTCTCCTCTGAATCAAGGTGATACAATTGTGGGTAATGTGGCTGTGTCTATTGCTTCCTTGCCTTTTACTTTTAATGGTGTTAAAGTTGTTGGTGTTGATGGAGAATGTTTAAATTATAATCCTATTTCATGTCCTGTTGTGGGTCATGGAGTGTTTGTGTCTAGTTTGGTTGATATAGATTTGGTTTCCAATCCTTTTAGCCCCATCATCTCTCCAGCAACTGCTTTTTCTATTGCTGTGGCTTGTTCTATAGGCACTCCGGTTGCTAATGTTGATGGTGAAATGGTAGTTTGTGGTGTATTTAATGATGATGTTAATCCTGCAGTGACTCCTATCTGTCTGTGCATAAATGATAATAATGGTTGTATTAATCTTAGAGCTAGTCCTACTTGTGCTGATGTTGCAGAGATGTCAGATGATAATTCTATCTCCTTAGTTGATGGGGGTGGTGAAACCTTGGCTGAGTTGGGGGAGGCTGGAGTAGTTGTCCCTCTGGTGGATGTGCCTATTTATGTTATCTCGAATGCTAATATGTTTTCCCATCTTGCTAGAGATAGTATTATGAGGCAATGTAAATGGTTATATGATGACATGTGAACCGTAGGAAGGGAGGATATTATTGAAAGCGATAGGGAAGCTGGCTTGCTCGATAATAATGTTAAGCATAAAAAAAAAATCTAAAAAGAAATTACTTTTCTTTTTGGAATTTTTGTGATTGTAGGGTTTGGTTTTATTTCGGTTTTGGTTGCTTTGCTGCGAGGGAAATGAAACAGGACTATGATGAAGCAGTTTTACTTCATGCGCCTCAGATGACCAGGGTTTGGTTGGCAACCTTGGTGGCTGGTTTTGTTGCTTGTCGGCTTGGAATCTTTGTTGTTTATCTTTTTCCTTGCCCCTCCCTCGCAACTAGGTGTCGGTTTGAGTCCTATTATTTCTGGTTTGATCAATCTTACGCTCATATTACTTTTGACCTATTGCTTTTTTATTTTATCTGATTGTAATTCTCTATATGTGGCCCTTTTGTGGTATTATGATGTATCCCTTTAAATTAATATATTTTGTTTTGGTTAAAAAAATGAAATAAAAGTATTATTTTTTTTATAAATTTAGATAAGTTCAAAATATGTTTAGACACCACATCAAGGCTTATGGCTATATGTACCTAAATGGTCCCCTACTCACAAATGACTTGTAAACATCAAATAAATAAAAATTTATTTCCATGATTCGAAATAAATAATATCTCCTTAAATAATATTTTAAATTCTGGCCAGACGATATAATAATTATTGCTTGCTATTCTTTTATGAAATTCTGTTACATTGTATTATCATATTTGTATTCAAAAGATAACATAAAAATAACTCAAACTTATGTTTTTTTCTCGACCCGAGCTCATTTGACGGGCTTAAGCATGTCGACTTAAAATTATGTTCAAGCGTGGCTCGAATGCTTGGTTTCTTATTTTGAATCTTGGATCTAAACTCAAGCACCACCGATGTTGAACGGATGTCATTAGATCGTCGCAAGATCATCACTATGTGACCATCCTTGTGAATTTTGTAAATTGCAATAATAGCTATATTATATTTATAAATATATATGCTATTATATTATAATATTATTTTGAATCTTGGATCTAAACTCAAGCACCACCGATGTTGAACGGATGTCATTAGATCGTCGCAAGATCATCACTATGTGACCATCCTTGTGAATTTTGTAAATTGCAATAATAGCTATATTATATTTATAAATATATATGCTATTATATTATAATATTAAAAATAAATTAAATAATATAATTAGAAATATATTTATATTAAATTATAAATTTTAAAAATAAATATTATAATTATAAAATATTATATATATTTTACAATGCTTTAAAAACTGGACCGGACCGCAACCGTGAACCGGTCCAAAGGACGGGTTTAACCTGAAAACCGGCTTGTCTTCAAACCGACCGATTTTGTCCA